TTCGTTCCGCTGGGATATATGTATGTACATAGAAATGTTTGTATGCTGGAAATTTCATTGCCTGCGCAATTTTAAATAAACCTTTCCCAGTTGTTTTCCCAGCGCTATTTTTTCAACTTCTCTACTTTTACTTAAAAGCAAATGAAAACAGACTTCCCACCATGAATTTTATTTGTGTGATTCTATTTTAGTCGTGTTTTTTTTTTTAATTTATTTTGTCAAATTTTTCGTAACCTAAATACTCTTTCAACTGGGTTTGCTGGCACTATTTAAGCTATAGCTTCCTGCATGCAGAGCAATTTTGTGAATACGTGCGCGTGTATGTATACATATACACGTATGTATGTGTATATACAATTAAGCAGAAAGGTGTACTTTTAATATGAATGAGTATTTGTATATAAATATACATATGTAGATATATAAATAAATTCACTGAAAATAGCATGCTGTGCTAAAAATAACTAACAACACAGGAGCAATAACAGCCAAAATATCCTGGTAATAAGAAAAAGAAAAAACTAAAGTATTAAGGCTGGCTGCAGGATAAGCTGTTCGCACCAAAAACAAATAGCGCCGCTAACAACAACGCAATCGGCTGGAGCAAATGCAAGGACGATCTTAGTGCTGCTAGACTCCAGGACATTTAAGTTTCACTATTTATGGTGCACGGCAGCAACAGCGCCAGACACTATCAGCATGGGGAATTGCATGCTTCAGTTGAAGCTCGATTTCACAGCTTGATACCGTGTCGTGCATCTTACCACCTTTTCCACCTTTGCCACCTTTGCCCTTGTCGCCCACGCCCACCCCTATAACAAATTTTCCACACTGATCATCCTGAGTGCAGTTATATGCCCGTCTGCTGTCTGTCCGTGAGGTGCTTTGAAAAAGTGCTGTTGCATAGTACAAGCAGCAAAATGCTTGGATTAAAGTTACCATAAATTTTATGGACAATAAATCAGCTGAAGGTTGCATTATACTATGCTGAATGCTGTACAAGGAGCGAAGTGCTCGTTGCTCATGTATGCAACTGTGTGTGTGTGTGTGTGTGGATAGAATGCAAGAAAAGCAAATTTCTTAAAATACGGTATTAAGAAAATAAAACGCCACAAGTGAAGTACTAATAAATAACTAAAATGATAACGCAGTTGAGTGCGTTGAGAAAGGTGAGAATTTCGAAAGGATGGTGTGATAATCGAAAGTGCTTTTTGATTGTATTTATTTATCCAATTTTCTTTTCTTGCATAATCTGCAGTAAATAAGCGGTACAGTGTTCTTAGGTTAGTGGAAATGATCAGTTTCAATTGATATTATCATCATACTCACTTTGTACCATTTTAAACCTTCTGGAACAGTTGTAATTTACAACACGAGAAAAAAATTTCTGCAAATTTCATTGATTGACAATAATACAATAATTAGAATTAAAAAAATTTCTATGATACATGCGCAAGTTAGCAATATATGTAAACATCACTGACGTTGAAGCTTCCTTTTCATAATTAATTATGATACATATATGTATGTGAAAACGTATTGTTAATATAAACACATTTGAAATAAGTAACGGTAAAGTTATTAACTGCTTTGACTAATTTTAATCCGTTTTTATTCGGAACGAAAAGCTGCAGTTAATGTTAAATCGTTAACAGCTAATGTTAAGTCGTTAACAGCTAATATTAAATCATTAACAGCTAATGTAAAATGATAACATTGAAGTGTGCTGTTGATTTAACGTTTTCGATGACCTTGTGCGGTCTCAATGTTTACGATCTCGCTAAGTTTTGATCAGAGAACATCAAATAAAGAGAAGGACCGATTCCAGACAGCATGTGAACTGCCTGAATCGACGACAGAAATAAAAGACTATTTCACCATTGCCGCCAGAAATTAAATCTGTTTGTCAACATTTCTGAGCAAGATAATAAAATAATTGTCTCCCAAATATCACTCTCCTGTAAATAATTGGTCAGTCTCTGGTAGTTCGCTATTTACTAACGGTGAAATAGTCTCTTAGTAATCCCGTAGGTGGAACAAATGGCAATCAGCACACCCCGATCCTTCTCTTTAATATACGTTCTCTGGTTTTGATAACACGGCGCGGAAACGAATCGATTTCGTTTCATTGGATTAACTTTTCTTGCTAGCGAAACGAAATAAGAACATTACATTTGTTGACTCTCTCTCTTCTTCCCTCTGTAAAAATATGGAATCAAGTTAAAGGCTATCAATGATTTTTGCAGTAAATGACTTTAATGATCTGTATCTCGCGTTGTATAAGTGCGTTTGGAACTCGATAGATAGCCTTAGAAAGATAATATTTTCTACTAAAGAAAAGAATGCTAAGATAAAATATATTATATTCTGCAAAATTTTTTCGATTGAGGGGAATCAGGCAGCGAATTCGTTCCGGTAACTTTGATATAAAAGATGTCCCATTGTGTGGAAGACCAATTGCAGAAAATGTCGCTCAAATAATATTTCGATTGCCCAGAAGCTAAACTTTTTACAAAAAACTATTTGCAACCGCCGGAAAAAGGCAGAACCCACAAAGAAGCTCGATATACATAATGGGTACTACATGAGTTAACCAGAAAAAACCGCATGGATCGAGCTTACGTGAAAAAATCGAACCATTTCTGAAGAGAATGGTGACTGGTAATGAGTCTTACTTACAGCAACGTGAAAATGGTTTCGGTCGAAGGAGAATGAGCTGGTTCAAATGGTACCCAAGCAAGGTTTGATGACCAGGAAGGTTTTGTTGTGTGTTTGGTTTGGATTTAAACCTATGAGCTACTTCCCTACGACCGAACTCTTAATTTAGACATGTACTGTCAGCAGTTGGATCGTGTAAATGAAATAATTTGCCAGAAGTCCTAAGGATGGGCCAAATGGAAGGCAAATGTGTTTTATCAGAGCAACGACGCCAGAAGCTCCGAAAACTTGATCGGCTGGTACTTATGTATCCATCTTACTGTATGGACTTTTCTCCGAGTAATTATCATCCTTTTTTGCCTATGGGGAATGGTTTGGCTTGTGAAAACCAAATTTTCCAAATTTTGGTCAATAGGCCCAAGGGTTTCTATGAGAGAGGCATAGTGGCATTACCATTAAAATGACTATCGAGCAAGACCATGCATATTGGACACAAATTTAAGCTTGACTTAATGTTTATGGTACAATAGCATGAACGATGCACGATCTATGCAACTTTATAGTCCATACAAATGCAACCCTGACAACTTGACGCCCATAAGAACCCTCCTCAGTCTATATTTTTTAACAAGTTTCAGTTGTAGCGAAACTAAGCCTTAAGCCTTTAACAATTTCAGGGCTGTAATTTCCCCAGCACTCGCCTGTTAAGACAAGATCCATTGGTTTGATCACTGCCATAAGAAATCTGATGAGGCGATGTGGTGATCTCGGAAAGAGCTGTCACTTCTACCATTTTTCTTTGTTGTATAACAAAATATTTCGTTCATACATGCAACAAACCAAAAATTATTATATAGCCGCAAAAACAATTTCAAAATTATTTAAATAAAAAGTCAAGCATATATGAAAATAGATTGCTTAACGACTTAAAAGATACCAAAGAAGTTCAAAGAGGGCGGATATTTATAGATATTTTAAGGAATGCGTCTCATCGGCTTGTTCGCTCCACCTCAAATATCGCTACTGCAAGTGAATGCTGAAGATCCCAATGGGGTTCCCAAGAGTTGTAACATTTTTGTTTCACATTATGGCCTATATTGCATTTAAACTTATCCCACATCCATAAAAAATTCTGCTTATAAAACAACTAAAACCAATTGATCATTCACAATGATGCACTACTTCGATTAGTTACCTGAACAACTAATAATTGACGCCGATTTTTCGAAAAAATGTTTTTTTTCGATGCGGCAAATTTCTTACTCCGGTCATACGTAAATTAGTTTAGATATCCAAGTTTAAAAAAATTAATCAAAATAAGAAAATACTTTTATACTTTTCTAATTGTGGCCGCTCCTTGGCAGGTAATGCTAGCACCGAGTGTGCTTCTGCCATGAAATAAAAGCAGCTCATTACAATCCATGAGCTGATCGTAGGAAACTTAAAATATACTGTGTACTGTTAAGACTTACTTTACAAACGGGTCGGGGAACTAATCCAAAAATTACTTCCGCGAATTTATAGTAATAATTAATTTGAGGGCTGCACTTTCAATCGTTTCAATTGGAAAAATTATCGTTAAAGCAGTTATCAAAATAAATTTGATTTCGTTTTTACCAGAAACGATATGCTGTCGTTAATGTTGAATCGTTAACAGTTTATATTAAACGTTAAAGTTGAAGTGCGATGTTACTAACATAGCACGCAACCATTTTAAAATTAACATTGAGGATGAGGATTTGCGGTTTCAACATTAACAATTTCGTGTTCGTTCCGATAACTTGCCGCCGATGAGAAACTAAATAATATCGACGATATCATGTCGTTAGTTGAGCATCTCTGTTAAGCCCAAACAATCTTGCAAACATTTTTTATATACGTAATTGTATATGTAACAAAAATGCACTTTTCGAGTTTTAAAAAAATATGCAAAAATGCAATACTTTTATCAAGAGAGGTACGATAATTCGGCAATAATTTTTTTACGTTTTCTGCTTTATTTAGGTCACAACCATTGTAAAAAAATTTAAAAATTATGTGTAATTTTATTCATCCCATGATTACAGTTATTTTGGCACCAACCACAATTGCTTTTTATCATAATTGGCAATCGGAATAACAGTAACTTTCTATAAAATCATGTCATGCAATTTTTTTCCTCAGTATTTGAATATAAATGTCACATAAAAAAATATCAAAAAAAAAGTTTCATTCCTTAAATCCAAGTATCGTTAAGATCTTTTAATCATTTTCATCTAGTAATAGTAAAGTAGGCTTCTCTTAAAATAAAAATACGTATACTCGTTTGTACATATATACATACACATGTGGTTTCCACTCACCTTGTGTTCTCGTGAATAGAAATAGGCAAAAATAGGGCAACAACTCTGTCAGCTTCATCTTTCATTCGTATGTGACGCTTTTAAAGTTTACGGTATCTATACACACATACATACGAGTATGTACGTGTATGTCAATTTATTTGCTTGCACATGCGCAGATACGAATGTGTGATGTGTAAGAATTGTTAAATGCACAAATGCGATTGTGCAGCTGCTGTGTGATTGTTCGCAATGTTTTATTATATTCTCTAGCTGATTTTAGTTACTTTTGTTGTGATTGCAATAGCTCGCCTTTGTTTTCAACCGACTGCTCTATAAGCCGCAACTACAGTTGGCTTGTCAAGTGCTGCATGCTTCGTCGAAAATTCTTATTTGCGGAAAATATTTTTAAGCTTTTTTAATTTCATACAGCTTTTCATGGTCGTCGCTGGCTGGCTGGCAATAGTAGCAGCAACACCAAGTGATAGCACTTGTTGAAATTTATTTGATTTTATTTATATTTACCGTTAGCACTTCACTTGTGCACTCGTATGTGTATTTAGAAAGTTTTCATTTATTGCCGACTATAAAGTTGTTTCAATGCCACTGCAAAAATAATTGAGATTTTATATTTAATTACATTTCGTTATAAATGAAATGAGTACTGTGTGTGTGTGTGTGTGTGTGTGTGTGTGTATGTGTGTGTATCACCTTTACTTTTGTATGTCTGCAAAAATTTATTAAATTTATTAAATACCAGACAATAGCTGGCATTCCCTAGTTGCATTTGTTAGTTGTTTGCATGTAGAATTTCAAAGCCAGACCACAATTTAAACACAACTCTCTATCAATTTTAAATCGAATAAAACCATTAAAAAATTTGGTTAAAGTATTATTAAGTCAATCTTTTCTATGCCTTTTTTCCCTTTAATGGACGTCACTTTTGATTGAAAATACTTTAAATTGTTTCAAGTTTTTTGACAACAAAATTTTATCACTCGGCACCTAAGTAAATCGCCTAGTTTACAAACACACATATAGAAATTGTTCAGAACGCAGACACATTGTCTCAATATGTTATTTTATTCTTTTATTTTATTTTATTTTATTTTACTTCCAAAATCTAACCATAATTCGACTGTACAAGTTTTCAAATATGTTTTGGTAAAGTACAAAATAGAAAACTATTTATTATTTTATTCTAAGCTTTTGTAGCTGCTCAAGTAAATTCATAAGTTCACACAATGTATTTACATACAATAACAAGGTTGGTATTGTCTAGCAGCTTTCTCATTTAGAGATTTTCATTTTATATTTATTTAAAAGAATATGCACTAAATGTTAACATGGCGATTGTTGTCCTTAAAGATTTAAAAAAAGTATTTGTATTTTGCTAAGAAAAGCTGTTCATAAAGAAATATTCAGTTGATAAATTAAAAATTATTTTCATTTATTTTTTTGGCATTTACCTTAAGATATTTTATGTTATTAATTATTATTCTATATATAATATACAGTGTGATGAAAGTTGTGCTTCACTTGTACCATTGAAGTAAAATCGATTTAAGTATAAACTGCAGGTACAATAAATGTGAGTTAAGTCCATAGAAAAAAATACTTTACTGATATTATACTGGGATATATCAGACAAAGAATGGATCGTAATTATAGATTTCACTTTAACCAAAAAATTTCAATCTATTCGGTTGAAACATTTGCAAATGTTATTGTTAAAGCAGTTATCAAAATAAATTTTAATTCGCTTTTACCAGAATTGAAATTCTGTTGTTATTCTTAAATCTTTTAAAGGTAATTTTAAATCGTTACCAGTAAATTTACTTGCGAAGAGGTAACATTATATCGTTTACGTTTATTTTCGTGATAAAAAATAGGTAATAAGTAATGTTGAATCACTGGCAGGTGATGCTAAATTTCTTACAAGTGACGTTAAACCGCTAACAGGTTATGTTAGTTCAGGTAATGGTCATTCGCTGGAATGTAATGTTCGATTGCTAACAGGTGATGTTAAATCACTAACGGGTAATGTTAAATCGTTATCAGATAATGTTTAAGGTTATCAAAATAAATTTTATTTCGCTTTTATTAGAAATGGAATTCTGTTGTTATTGCAAAGTCCGGTAAAGTTAAATCGCTGACAGGTGATGTTAAATCGTTTGCAGGTGATGCCGAGTCGGTGGAAGGTGATGCCAAACCGCTAGCATTTAATGTTAATTCTGGTAATATTCAGTCGCTAAGATGTAATGTTCGATAGTTAAGATGTTATGTTAAATCGCTAACAGTTAATTTTAAATCGTCATCTGATAATGTTAAATGTTAACAAAATAAATTTTATTTCGCTTTTGGCAGATATGGAATTTCGTTGTCAACAGGTAATGTTAAATTGCTTTCGGGTAATGTTAAATAGCTAATAGGTAATGTTAAATCGTTAGCAGACATTGCTAAGTCGTTAACAGGTAATGTTAAGCCGTAAACTGCTGATGTTAAATCGTTAACAGATAAATTTAAATCATTAACAGATAATGTTAAGTGTTACCAGGTAATGTTAAACGTTAAAATTAAGATGCGCAGTTATTATCATCGCAAGCAGTTGTTTTCAAATCAACATTAACGCTGAGTCTGTGCGGTTTCAACATTAACTTTGTTCATTTCGTTTCGATAGAAAAAGCGAAACAGAATCATTTCGGTAAGATTACTTTTCATATCAACAGAACAAAGTGGCATCGTTTTGTTTGTTGTGAGTCTCTGGGTAATAAAAATTGGTTAGACTTTAAGTTTGTTTGTTTTGTTTTTTATATCTTTCATGTACATGAAATCGTATAAAAACGTTGGTCCATTTGTAAGTATCAGAAATAGTCTCCAAAATTCATAGCAGTCGAGTCAGAATGACAGATTCTGTTGATTGATTTATACATAGAGCCATCTGTTTATATGCAAGCCAGCCCCTCAGTTTTTAAGATATTTCAACCAAAATTGGTACAGAGATCGGCTCGATCAGAACACTAAACCGCGTGTTCGAATTTTGCATTCAACATACATAGATATATATAAATAAATATTATCACCGAAAACCATCGAAATAGGAGGACTATAATATATAGCTCCCATACAACCGATTTGTTCAGATGTGAGGTTTTCACTTCTCCTTCTTCTTCCTTGATGTGGACGCCGCCGTCTTTCCAGCGAAGTGGAAGTTGAATCGGAAATTGATAGTTTCTGTAGGAAAATTTTGGATTTTAGTGATTTAATGTTTGACATCTCTTAGCCAAAAGGTTTTTACCGAGCAATTAAAAGCACAAATACATTTTCGACCCTTTTTTATTACTCATCATCATCTTTATATCTTCCACATCATATTCTATAGCGAGATCAGATATTGACTTCTATCCCAATTTGGCCAAGTAAGCTCGGCCTTGCGGCAGTTGGTAGTTTCGTTTCTACGAAAAGTCTTTGGGAAACACTTCGCAAGTGGCAAAAGGTATACTAAAGTCTCCTTTATCGAGAAGTATCTGCTTCTTGGTGGTACCTTGACTAGTACGTTCATCTGTTTAAATTATAATATATATATCAGGTGTACAACTTTGCTTCCGCCGTTTTCCGATAGGAGGCTGTACCGGCTGAGGCTGGTTGAAATACATAGATGATGATGCCTTTAAAGTGAGTGTGGACAGTGCCTAACGAATTGTCATCGCCGTTTCAGTGACAGTTGTTCTTGTTTTCGTATTATTCACGCTCGAAAATGTCCGTTTATGTACCTAATTCTCGGCATTTGCGGGAAGTTTTACTTTTCCGTTACAATTCGAAAAAAAAATGCAGCTGAAGCGCATCGAATGCTCTCAGAAACTTACGGTGATGTTGCTCTGAGTGAAAGAACGTGTCGGGAGTGGTTTCAACGTTTTAAAAATGGTGATTTCGATGTCGAAGACAAACATGGTGGTGGAAGAGAAAAAACCCGCCGTATTCCCCAGACGTCGCCCCTTCTGACTTCCACCTATTCCGTTCGATGACACACGGCCTGGCAGATCAATATTTTCTATCCATCAAAAAATTGGAAAAATGGATAGCTTCATGGATAGCGTCAAAAGAGGACTCCTTTTTTCGAGCCGGGATCCGAAAATTGCCGGAAAGATGGGAGAAAGTTGTCGCTAGCAAAGGACAACACTTTGAATAATATATCTGCAAGCACTTCTTTGCAATAAAGCTTTTAATTTTGGAAAAAAACGGCCATAATAAAATATATATCTTTTGCTCTTTCTGAATAAGTGAAAAATGCTAAACATCAGGGAAATATTTTTCTACAGTAACTTATGAATCGATGCATCTATACTCGAATGCTGGATATGTTTTTGGTGATAATCATAGATTCAGCAAATAAAGATTGAGAGCTTTATAATTTACTAAGCTTCTTCAAAAAAGCCAAGTTGTGTTTAAGTAATTGATTTTTGATAATATGACCGTATTTTGATTGTAGTACTATTATAAAACAAATATTCTTCTTGAGGTCTTTTTTAATTTTTCGTAAATTTTTGTACTGAAATTGCTCTCTTTCTACAATTTAACCATTCAAATACATATGAACGGAGCTTGTTGGACTACGATTTTATTAAAAAAAAGAGCAGAAAGCATTCAACAATCATAATAATACCTCTTTGGCAAAACAAATTTCAAAAAAATTGTTTAAGTATTTTTATATTGTATCAATTTGTTTATTCTTATTTTTTTAATTTTACCATTTTTATTCTTCGTATTCTGCCTGTTCCATTTTCAAGAATTATACGGGAAAATAATTGTTAAGAATTTAATAAATTTATATTTAATAAATTATTTACTTCCTACAATTGAATTATATTGATTGGATGTAGTCTAAAAACTACACTTTGTTGGACTTTAAATCGCTTTAATTTAACTACAAGTTTTGATTTTAGGTGTGGCACAGTTGATGATGTGCACAAGTTATTCCTTTGGTAATTTTTTTGATTTTAAATTTTTACAAAATAAATGGCGCAATAACTTCGCGGTACAACACATTATGCTACTCTTCGGGGAATGGCTTCCCTACGTGGATTCCTCGTGCCTATTTGAATTCGCTGCCCAGTTCGGAATATGATGCAATCTGATACCATTATATTCTGAAACAAAATTGCAAATAATACGCATAACATTTTCGTTAGCTTCATTTTACGCAATTACAATAAATAATTGTTGACACTTTGTGAAATTTGTAGGTAATAAATTATTTGTTTATTTTGCAGCAACTTAAACACTTAATTAAGGTGTCGACTTTTAAAATTCTACTAAATTGACTTCACAAATAGCTTATATTTTCAGATATTACCCATGCTTATGCTGGTAAAGTAAAATGTCATAACTGCAAAAATACAATTTTAGGAATTTCCAATCATATTGTTAGGATTTTTCTAAATCAACCTCGATGATTTTCTGAATCCTTCGGGTACGCTCTCTGGATTGTTAAATAAAAAATCGCCAACTTAATTTGCAGTTTCTTTCGTTATAAAGAATTATTATAGTGTCCTTTATTTTCTCAGTAATTCACAATTCAATTACAATGTACTTTACTATTTACAATCACTAGCATCAACTTTCACAATTTACTTTACTTAAATGTAATCCCCAACGCGTTTACTCCGCTACACCCTATGTTAACGCCAACGAGTTCACTTTGTAACTAACTGCACTTGGCAGCTGAGTGTCGCCCTTATATAGCAGTCGGCTGCTCGTAGACGAAAGTATAGAATACTCGAGTTGCTCACTATCGAAGGTTCTCGTTTTATCGTTTCTAGAATGTACTAGTTATCGGCTTCTCTCTTTCATCTGACATTCGCCTCGCATTTTCGAAACAATATTGTGAAGAAAATGCCAAAAACGAATGTGAGGTGAGAGGGAGAGATCGATAACTAAAGCATGTTCTGGATAGAGCACGAAT